AAGCACTTCTCCCATTGTTTTTCTAAAGCTCGCGTACGGCACTAGAGCATTCTCGAGCAGCGACCGATACAATGAATCATTGCCCCCCAAGATGGGCAGCTCCTGATAAAGGTGCACCGCTACACTTAACGAGAAAACTGAGGTTCCTTCAGTGCACCTATCGGAATGATCACTGTTAGACATGGAATTTTCCAGGAAGCAGTCGGGCCGTTCCCAAGAAACGCAGGAACGTTGGGAGCCCCCCTTCGGAAGCACAGAGCGCTGTGGTAAGCTTGCGCTCCTCGAGAACGACGGGAACGCACAGGATGGCAACCTGAGGAAGTATCCTGAAGTCAAGTTCGGCCATCAGCGATTTGCAGACGAATATCCGTCGTCGCCATACGATGATGATGATGATCTCTGCTGGGGAGAGACTACATACGTATTTCGAGGCTCCGAGTATTGCGAGACTTTCTACTGCTCCCTCTCCTCCGCTTAGCATGCGAGAGACGCGACCCAGACCCCTCATAGTGCCCCGAGCGACTTTTCTTCAAGACGAATGGACTCTGGAGAGATGCGCGAACCACAGGAAGTCCCGAGTCTTGGCACGAAGGAGGAGCAGGTTCTGACACATAAAGGGAGCGAATTCGAATTTCAGGTCGGCCGATTTCATTCATTTCATTAACTCGCGCTTCCCGCAGCTTTTTGCGGCAAGTTAGCACGGGACTCCCCTGCGTCTTTTGCGCCACATTTCGTATGGAATGGAGAGTTTTGGCTTGATCAGAGGGGGACGATCGATGGCTGGGTAATGCTTTTATCCAATGGAACCTTCATTCGAGGGTCGTTCTGGATGTCGAAATCCCTTTGCGATCCTTGCAGTATCGCCGTCCCATCTTCCTCGGTCCATCTTTCAGAACCCAAGCTCGAGCTGAAGCTTTTCTTTGTTCCCTGAAAACTCCATGCTCGATGACCTACTGGTCTCGCCTGGCGAACTCGATATATGACGCTGCTGCCATGGTCGAGAAGGGAGCCTGCTTCCTACTGGAAGACTGAGCAGCCGGTGGTGGTGAGCTCTCCGATCGAGTCAAGTGTATGGGGAATCGTGATTGCCGAAGCAGAAAAACAACCCCGATGAAGCATCCATTCAGCAAGGTCCAGCGACTCAAAACAGGCCCTCGCGAACTTAGAACTTATGATAGTCGAGCGCTCCGCGAGAATCTCGAGACAGCCGGAGAGCTTCGATTCGTCAGCTTCAGAAGCCAGGGACTTCTACAGAGAATGGTCACTTAGGTATCCATCGAATCTCCTAACAACTCCCTCGAGTGCGGACGCTGTCGCGAGGTCAGGATGACAAGAACAGTCAAGATAAAGTACTTTCTCTTGCGTGTAGTGTCAAAATAGAGCTTGAGACAAGTTCTCAGCCCCAAACACTCCGATCATAGTATCCTCCGGAGGATGCCGCAGCCTCAGAGACTATCTGCAGATGTACATTTCTAGGTGGAGAGGGATCGCGCCAAGGAAGAACGGACGGGGACCTCGGCGATACTGAGCGGACTGTTTTCATTCGGAAGGAAATTCGGAATCTCGCTTCAGAAAGAAGTCAAGGTTTTCACATGAACTTCGCGACAAGTTCCTGTCCATCACATGGCTCAGGAATTCTCCCTGAACTCCTGGGTCTGAAGTCTCCGTCCGCTCGTCGAGCCGGTTGATACGCTCGTTCAACGCATTGGCAGCCTCCAAGAGGAGAGAAACCCTCTTCAGAAAGAATCCGGAGTCCATCGCTGATAGACGGGAGGGGGGAATCGACCGAGCCAGGTGAAGGTCTGAATCTCTGGGCACATCCTCGTTCCGAGACGGCTTCAAAAATGATGACTGTGATCTGTATATGCGCCAGCAAACTTCATGAAATGATGATATTTCGGCACGAGAAGCATGGGAAACTGTCATCAGAGCGATCCTTTCCGCGACGTTGACGGAGGCGATGCCGGACCGATCCATGATGATTCCGAGTCGGTGGGCGAAGCACCCAAGACCTGAATGTCAAACCGCTCTTTGACTTGAATCGCCCCGAAGGAGAGCATTCGAACCTCGGGCTATGGAGAACAGTCGAATACGACAGACACGAGTATCGTTTCGCTCGCATCCCAGCAAATGACAGGTCCGGGATCACCGACGTTCTCATTTTAGAACGGAGATGGTACAGCCGATTTGACGCCTGACGCCAAATGTTTGTCTCTCGGACCGAGACCTCCGGCGGCTCCCTGCCCGCCGATGGTTCCTCGGGCAGGGGTGTTTATCCGGGAGGTACGGAACGAATTGTCCTGTGGCTGGTCGATCGGGTCGGATGACTTCTCGTCGCCTGTGGATGATTGTCTTGAGATAAACTCTGAGTATTCACGGGCGCAACAGGGTACGTAAAGCATTCACGGAGGCTCGAGTGCCCGCTAAACTAGCGTAATTTCAATGGCCTTGTTTTTCTTTGTCGGAGTCGGATCTTTAAATCTGCAAACAAGATGGCCGAGTGCTGAGCAGTCGTCGGCCGTGCTTCCACTAATACAAGCTGGATGCTCCCGTGCCGTGAGGGCTAGACGAGAAGAAGAATGAACGTTTAAAATTCTCGCGAGTGAAGTCTCGGCTGCTCTAGAGGCTTCAGTGCCTTAGTTTGACGGAGGAGAATGAGTACGAGTTCAACAGCGTCGGTCGCCCTTTGATCGCAAAGCTGTGCACAAACACAGTTTCCTCTTGCGTACTTGTGTGAGCCGCTATCCAGTATAGCAACCCGGGACGTTCTGATACAGCCTTACCAACTTCAAACGTGGACCGAGTAAGTTTCGGCTCCGTAATGCATGGTGGATTCCGATTCTGCTCTACGTGTCAGAGCTTCATTTTCCTCAACAGCTGTCGTGTCACCATCGGGTCCCCCAAACGAGAGAGTCCATGAAGCATATTGTCCCACTTTCCGCGCCGACCTTAGTCTTGCCGTCCGACTTACGAAAACCGATCCAGCGGGCCGCGTTACTTTCACGCACCGAAGTTCGGCTGAGATCCCTGCTTTTGGGGAATCCAGCGGCGTCAGATATGGCGTGAGCCTTCGACATCAAAATTTTTCTGCGAATGATCTGCTAAACGTTCTCTGAAATCTTTAGAGAAGTTCATCGGAATCATTACACTACTCGGTCCCCTCATTCTGAATTATTCGAAGTTGAGTTTAAGCTCATTAAACGAGGACCTCGAGCAACCTGTTGCGGGAAACCAGAGGCTCCACACGGGAAGCTTTGTGGTGCGTCCACTTCTTGTTCACAATTCCAAGTTGAGCGAAGAGCCATTTCGATCGTCTTGTCTGTGTTCGGAACAATGACGAGTTTTGCGCGTTCTTTGTTCTATTCTTCAGAGTACGGGAGTCCTTAGGAACTTGGAGGCCGGCCGTCGTACGGCTTCATGATTTCTTTCAAATAGGAAGCCCGTGGGGGCCGACAAAAAGATCCACCGTCGGAATGAAGACGAATGTGAAGGCACCGATTACTCGTCTTTTGAGAATGTTGGGAACATCAGAAATTGAGGATGTATCAAAATGCCGTCTACTTAATCCGCAGTTTCGAGCATGATTTTAATCAAGGCTATCTTGACACTCGATGTCAGTCAGATGGCGCTCCTCGGAGGTTCTGCTTTTGAGCAGAACCTCATGCCTCATGCAAAGCAGCATGAGGACATCTATCAACTCTGACTGACTGAGTGGGCGAGCTCGGAACGTTCAAACAGCCGAACCAGAGCTGAGAGACGGGCCCACGTGTGCTTCGCTGTCGTCAGACTGCGGACAGGAGATTATGTATACAGTCACTTGGATGTGTCTACAACATCGCCAAGTTCGTCAACCGCAGTCTTGGATCGCGAAATGCCGCGGACTCAGCCGCGCCAACGATCACGTACAAAACCTATTAGCCGGGTTCAAGTCAGTGGTTTGCTGAACATCGTTCAAATGTTTGCGTTCCCTGTTGGAGACGCCATCCAAACGGCAGTATGTCCTCTCCAGGAGGGGATGCGTTCCGCCACCGGCTCAGGAGAACCCCGACGCTCTTTCGACTTTATGTAACTAGATGAGGCATGGGATCAGGGCTTGCGGCTACCGACTAAATGATTATCAGATGTGTGGTGTCGTGGAACCGGGAACTGGGAGTTCAGGAACGCGGCTCTCCGGAGGATCCAGGATCTGGCCAAAAACCTTCTCGACTGTGGAATGATTTTTCACATCTGTTATTCCGAGAAAGGCTCTCAATCATGCAAAAGTCGGTCCACCCGTCCCTAGTCTGTCTTCCGTTTTCCTAGTGATGCTATAATTCTAGCGTCGCGGCGGCTGCGTCGTTGTGGCCGACGTTGGCTTTGGCCTTGCGTTGTGGGCGAGCGTGTTGGTGACGAACTGAGGCAATACCTTCCAACTAGCTTTCCTGCGACGTGCGGGCTCTCACCTGGAAGTCCTCCTGCGCGATGGGAGAAACAAGGGTGTCTGGCTCTTCGCTGTGAGGATGCTCACAGGTTAGACCTCAAGAGTAACTTGATGACGTTCAATTGGGTTCATGAAGCGATGGGTGGCGAGAAATCTTCAGTGAAATCGAAGTTTCACCAGAGAGCTGCCTCGCGTTTCCCGGAGAGGACTGGCTTCGATTTCCCCCCGTACGCCGAAATATTTGACTGTACAAAAGCTTCTCGCATCTCGAACGGTTCCCTTATGGATGCAGAACTCCGATCTCAAGAGGACTACGCCTTTCCTCTGCCATCAGGGATCGTCACATTCGACACCAGGCTCATTATACGCGTCAATATCGATCGTCCATATTCAGATGACCTTTGTCGTACAATGCCGAGCCCGAGAAGATTCTCATCGGCACGAAATACTATCATATTTCGATCTGATTCGATACCAATCGAATCAGATCCTGGGAGTTCACGCTGGCCAGACGGGAGGACGGGGCAATAATATCATTTGTTTTCCTCGAAGCGCTGTGGCCTGAGGAGCGCCAAGGCCACGGTGTCGTTGACTCGGAGCTTCATGTTAGTGATGACGTTCTCTGCGTTAGCGAAGGCTCTCATTCGGACAGAGCTCCATGGATTAAAACATTTCATCGATACGCCGGTAACCGTGTTCGATTTCAAATACTCGATTGGGGATCGTTCTCTATCGTTTGTCAACATACGATACCGCGACATAAGATTGAATGCCCGTGTCGAGACCCCGACGCAACACATCCTATCTATAGGGGGAGGGAAGCGAGGTATAGGGAGAGCGGTGAGGCGCGTTGAGAGAGCCTCGGTTTTCCGAGAAACGGATCAGCTCCTCCACGAACCCCCAAAATAGTCTGTAATTTTCTCCGGATTCCGGAAACATTTATACCTAGAAAACATCCGCGGTGTGTCAGAGTACGAGGCTGATAACCGGAATCCCCCCACGACGTGGCAGGGCGCGACCAGGCATCGAGGTGTTTATCGTGATTCTTGCCGGTGGTCGGAGCTTGTGGTCATCGTCCGCTCGACCATCCGATCTGGCTCGTACTCATGCCTCAAATCATGAGGCATAGCGTGAATTGATCCGAGGTCAGAGCTATGTTTTCGATGCGCGTTTCCGAGCGACTTACCCCCGTTCGGTGGGGGTAACTCTGAGTGAGTCAGAGCTGTGACGGAGCTCCCGAGCAACTCGAGACTGATGGTGGTCCTTGTCCTTTCCAGCAACGCAGAAGCAGTTCCGGCCGGCAGGAGGAGGTGAAGGAGATCGTGCCGTTCGGCGAGACTAGAAGAGGGTGCCAAGGAGGTGAAGGTGTGGCCTCGCGGTCCTTTGTTTTAGGGCCACAGGCTGGGTGATGCGATCCCTTCATGCGAGCCAGCACGATCAGCTGCAGTTTAATCTTGTCAATCATCACGGATCAAGTTCCGCTTCCCGTAGAAACCAATTATTGACCAATCCCGTCGATCAATCCTACACATTTGACGCTCTATCCGCGCTACAACAAGTTCAGCAAGCCGCAGGTAGGCAAGCCTATGATTCTCTCTTTCATTAATTTCCTCATTTCTGAGAGGATCTCTCCCCAACCCGAGTAGAAACTGAGTTATCGCTCACTGAGAATTCTCGCAGGATACGACCCTCTGCTCAGTTCATCGTTGGGCATCGGAGCTTCATCCGGCGTCTTCAATCTGAAGCCTCCGGTAACCTACAATGGCAGTAGTATTTTGTTCAATTCCTCAACGGCTGGGGGTTCGACCAGTGGCTCGAACTCCTTCTCTGTGAGAACAACTTCCGCCGTTACCCACCCACAGCACGCCACAATCAGTGGAACCAGTAGCTCTAGTTCGTCTAGGAAGAGAAAGGTGAGTCTAACGTCGAATCGCCGTCCTGACACGCTATTCCGTAGACGGCCTCGTCGAATTCAATCGCGGAGAGCAGCGATAAAATACATTTATGGTCATGATATCATAGCCGAAGGAGTTTATGCACTCCCTTATTAGAGAGCGACGGATCGATGACCTTCCTCTACATGGTTTATGAGGCAACGGTGTCGTCATTGAAACCCCTGAGGGCTCCGCGCTGACTCAGTACGGGAGCTTTTCGGAGTAGTTGATGGAAGCAGATGATAGATGATAAACTTCGTATCCATTCATCAGGCGGAAGCATCAGGTGTTGGTTACGGCGGATCTGGCGGAGCGACGACGATTTCGTCCTCAGGCGGAGGAGGGATTCCGATGAACACTCACTCATCATCCACTGCCGGAGGGCAATCGAAGAGAACCAAAATGGGGCAACAGAAGAAGGTCGTGTCCTCTTCTTCGACTTCAGAAGGCGACTATCAGCTTGTGCAACACGAAGTTCTATACTCGACTGCGGGTAATCAGTACGAAGTTCTCGAGTTTTTGGGACGAGGAACTTTTGGACAGGTCAGTAGACGACGCGACGGTGCCAGGCCTGCAGAGAATAGATATTCGCCACAACGCTTCGTACGATTATGGGAAAATGAAATTTGACTCGGAAAGTCTAACGGAGCATCCTCTCAGGTGGTGAAATGTTGGAAGAAAGGAACCAATGAAATCGTGGCGATCAAAATCCTAAAAAATCATCCTTCTTACGCAAGACAAGGACAAATCGAAGTAAGTTGCCCTTTTCTCGCCGTGCCCTCCCTCCGAGACAGCTAGGAGAACGTCTTTATAGATGGAAGCGTCATCATTCTCTGATCACTGATCGCTTGCTAATCGACTAAACGAACGCGTCTGCCCACAGGTGTCGATACTGCAGCGTTTGTCGGCAGAAAATGGAGATGACTATAATTTCGTCCGTGCTTATGAATGCTTCGTGCATAAAATGCACACCTGCCTCGTTTTTGAGATGCTGGAGCAAAATCTCTACGATTTTCTCAAACAAAACAAATTTTCTCCACTACCCTTAAAATACATTCGACCGATTCTCCAACAAGTTTTGACAGCACTACTCAAACTGAAGCAGCTCGGCTTGATTCACGCCGATTTGAAACCTGAGAATATTATGCTTGTCGATCCAATCAGACAGCCTTTCAGAGTCAAGGTGAGCGTCTTCCCTCAAGAGCTGCTCATTCCACCTGATTGTAATCGGGATACTATCAATTTCTCTAAATACATGTGTCACTCATTGATGCCGGAGGGCAAAGACTGCCGTATCATTCTTAACCCTTCGCTACCATTATCGGATTCGGGAGAATTTCCAACGGACTCGAATTTCAGGTAATTGATTTTGGGTCCGCCTCGCACGTTAGCAAGGCTGTATGTTCTACGTATCTTCAGTCACGGTGAGTTGATCCTGAGGTCGAACTCCACGTCTCAATCGAATGAGGTGAAATGCAGACTTCTGGCAGCCGAGTTCGACCGACGAGCGAATGCACGCGCTGATCCTCTGCGGAGATTCGAAGTTGACGCCTGGACGTATACATGGAACGTATCATGATGTCTGAATGCACCATTCTTTTTCACAGCTATTATCGCGCTCCTGAGATAATCCTCGGCTTGCCTTTCTGTGAAGCCATCGATATGTGGAGTCTCGGCTGCGTAATCGCTGAGCTCTTCCTCGGTTGGCCGCTTTACCCGGGAAGCTCTGAATATGATCAAATAAGGTAACTGCTCGCGACCCTGATATCTCCCGGAGTCGCTCATACACATCAGAGAGACTCCTCCTCAATCGTCCTGAGCCGAGGATTGGGAGGATACCATTCACTCGGAAGCCACCGAGGGAGGAATTCCTAATGAGCATTGGATGTTGCAGGTATATCTCGCAGACGCAAGGATTACCGGCGGAGCATCTCCTGAACGCTGCGACGAAGACGACTCGGTTTTTCATTCGGGAACAAGCATCCTCTTCAAATTATCCATTCTGGAGATTGAAAGGTCCAGAAGAACACGAAAGCGAGACCGGAATCCGTTCCAAAGAAGCCAGAAAGTATATATTCAATTGTCTGGATGACATGGCTCAGGTAAATTGATCGACTAATCTGGTGGAGCTGGGTTCAGGTCGATGAACTGGACTTCCTTATTTATTCGTGCTGAAATCTTGAATATTTTTGGCCTGATCGCTCGATATATCTCATGCGCGCCGATTGATTCAACAGGTCAATGTTCCTGTCGATCTCGAAGCGTCGGGCGGCGGCGAACTCCTCGCCGAGAAAGCCGATCGCCGAGAACTCATTGATCTCCTCAAACGCATGCTCACACTAGATCAAGAGCGCAGAATCACTCCCGGAGAGGCACTCAACACGAACTACGTCACACTGAACCATCTTGTGGAGTACGCTCATTGTCAGCATGTGAAAAATTCGGCCCAGGTCATGGAAGCCACCTGTCACCGTCGCATAAGACACCATCCGACGGCTCAGGCGGCGGCAGCGTTGTATCATCCGACAGCGCTCTATCGACCGTTTGCGGGTGCCCAGGCATCGCAGTCCGCGCAGCAGGCCGCACCGCAAACCCAAATTTGTTCGATTCTGTGTCCGCCACAAGTTAACGCTTGTTTAAACTCTCCGAAACACATGATGGTACCCGCGGCTCAAGCTCCACACCAGCAGCTGCAAATCCAACCTTTGCATCTTGCCACTCAACAATACGTTCCGGTCTCAGTCGTCGAACAGAACGGCCGACAGATGGCGTTGATCACGGTGAGTTCATCACGGGCTCCGACATTCACCAGGATTGTGCGATCTAAGGAAATCAAAATATTAGTTCTCTTAAGAGGAGGAAATTAATCCTTTCAACTAACCCTGTGTGTTTCTCTATATGGCTGCTTTTCGGGATAATCAATGTCCGCGCCTTCGTCTCCGTTTCTCTTCGTCTCACTGTCACCGTGATCGATCTCGTCGAAATATTCAATTCGATCTGCTCGACTCACATGTCTTCCGACGTGTTCCTCCGTTCTTATACTCAACCGTGATTCTACAAAAAATAGGACTCCAACCTTCTCTGTCCCCAGAATCCTTCATCTGCCGCGGCGGCGGCTACTTGGGCTGCGGCGGCCGCTGCGATGAGCTCGTCGAGACCTCATCATATGTTCGTGACTCCGACCAATGTTTGGGGTGCTCCTCTGACCCGCGGCGAGGACCCGTGGGGGCGAGCCGGTCTCACTCTGTTGCCACCGCCACCAGCCCCCGGTAAGAGCTTTTCTGAGTTTGTCAAGCGATCGTCAGTTGATGTATCAACTAATTCGGGAAATCGATCCGTTCTGTCAGTGGCAACTCCCAGAGTCCCAATCATGTGATCTTGCTCGGTTTCAGTCTCGGTCGCGGACTGGATGTCGGTCGGTCAGACTCCATCGGCTGCTCACCAGAGCTCGCTGCGATCATCGACGCGCGAGCACTCGCACTCGAAGCGACATCCATCGTCTTCGAAGACGCAGCAGGTTTCGGTCGCGACGGCTGCGGCGTATGCGCCTGCGGTTTCCTCGATTCCCAACCTCATCGGAAGCTCTTGTTATCAGGCGCAAACGCCTGCCCAGCAGACGCAGCTGAGCCCTGTGAAGAAACGCGTCAAAGAGAATACGCCGCCGAAATATCCCACGAGCGTGTCTTCTCTGCAACCGAACGTCACCCAAGGTGCCGCCACGGTTAAATGGCATCCGGATCCCTCGCAGAATTTGCAGAATTCGCAGAATATCGTGTCGAACTCTCAGCAACAACAACAGCAGCAGCAGCAGCAGCATCAGAGACATCATACGGCGACCTCGAGTTCGAACAACAGCAACGTCATAAGCACTACAGTTCATGGAGACAGGACCATCGTCATCCGCGACTCGCCATCACCTTCTCGAGCCGTCTCGGTGATAACTATCAGCTCCGACAGTGACGATGACGCTCCCACCCAGAACAGGTGAGATACTGATCGTAGGCATACACGGAAGGAAAACGTGTCAAGAACATAAGCGTTCGACGTGGCTGACCATCGGTGTGATTTGACAATTCCTCCAAGAGAGAGTTTTCATTTTGCTCTCGATTTTCAGCGGAGGCTCGAAAAGCTCCACGGATCGTGAAGGTTCCGGCGCGTCGAAGAGCAGTCATCAGGCCACACCTCAGGACTATCCGTCACGGGGTCGTGCTACTTCGTCCAAGAGCACGATGTTGCTCAGCCACGACTCGCCCGGAGCCTCCGTTTCGGTGGGGATCACACCCGGTGAACCTCATCAATATTCGCCCATCGTCATCCAGAACATCAAACACGAACCTCGGGATGAGCAGCAATTATTGCACAAAGTGAGCGAGGAGTGCATGTATATACCAATCAAACGATCTACCTGCTTCCACCTAATCCAATCCGTCCACTTCCGTACCCGATACTTTTTCCTAGAGCGTTTTTTCGAACTCTCTGCAGGATCGCTCGGCGAAGTATGCGACAGTGCCGGGTCTCCAACAAACCTTCAAGAGGGAAGTGATTTCCCAACTCCCCACTGCTCATCTGTCGACTTACGTAGATTCGGAGCGACTATTGAAAGCATCAGCATCGTCACGAGTCCAGTCTCGCCAAGCACCTCTGCAGTTCGAGTTCTCCGGACAGCCTGCCGCTCACATGGCACCTCAACCCCTCTACCTCAGTCAGCCTGACATTTACAGGTAGGAAATCCTATCATACGCCGGTCATGTTGAAGGACAATCATCTTGGATATCGAATAATCCATTGGATGCTGATCCCTTGCGTTTTCTATGAATTTTCGAATCCTTTCCAGACCTACCGCCGTGTACGTGGCCACCGGTAGCGGGCAATTCCCTCCTCCACCCGCTCACCATCAATATCCGCAGGTAGCAGTACTTGTTAGACTACGCTGTTCTGAAAAATACGCGAAATACGGAGAATATGTTGAAGGATTCGTAGCTTTTGACCAACTTCGATGTTTCGTTCGTTACTAGGTGAACCAACCTCCTGTCGGGTACGCAGCTCCGCCGGCGCATCTGCAATCTTCCTACCCGACGTACACGAGGATCTCGCCGAAATACCATAATCCCTACCAACCGATGTGAGAGACCTAGTTCCATTATCGGGTACTAAGTGCTGACGCGAGAACTCAGAATACGCTGAGCTAGAGCGACGATTGGAGATCGAAACCTCCGACTGAGCCTCCCAAAGTGTGGTAGTGACGCATACTTTAATTGAGAAAGTATTTCTAGCATCCCTTGAGAAAGTATCGGTGAGCCTAGCACATGACCCGTGTGGTGATTGCCATACGGGGTATCAGGTTTCGCCGAACCTCCCAGCTTGTAGAAGTCTTCATTCGATGCTTGAAACTTGAACGAAACTGATCATCATCATCATCCCTACCGTCAATCAACACCTGCCTCCATTCGAATCGTGATCGGACTTGACCTCCGACTCCAGGTCCCATTCGAAATCACGCTGCTCCGCGTGACCTTTGGATTCACTCATTATTATTATTATTATCATAATTATTTCGGAGCCGATAATAATAGACAACGACGATTCGCTCCAAATCGGAGACTACCGATCAGGAGCACGATGGATCAGAACACTTACCGGGAATTCGAAAACAGTGCCCGCTCATCATCGACGATGTGTCTCGGAACCAGGAGCGACTTTCCGGGCTCGAAGCATGTCGAAGACATATCACCAACGAGACCATGAGCGTTCCACGCAGTTATGCTGCTCGATGGCCGCAGGAGGCCGTGGAACGAGAACTAGGGTAGCGCTTGATGGAAACTCGTAGATTAGAGCGCCGATCGGTATGCGCGTGCCGGATCCGATTCGGACTATCTGTTTTCGCCTAATTTAGAGCAGGAGCGATCAGAATCCAATCATCTATAGCTTATTTGTTGATAATCGAAAGGTGAGCCCGTCATTTATATCCTCATTGCTGAGACTCGGGCGTAGCGTTTCGTGCTTGCGGCATCGACGTTGTTATACGAGAATAATTTCTATGATGATCTATTTTTTTCTGTCACGATCCTGCCCTTTATGCGTGTGTTGATCTCGGGCCATGATATTTGAGAGAGCCGACATTTTGATGCTGTGTTCATGACCGAGTCTAATGCGCGTACGGAAAGAGAGTTTATTCGCATGGCTCTTCCATGAATGCTCTCGTTTGAGCTCCTGAATTTCTCTCGATTCGCTTGCCGACGCATGGTTCCAGGCTTGGTCGTCCACTCTGTGAGAATAGTCCAAGGTCGCGATAGTCCTCTCAATCATTGATTCCGCGAAGGCGCTTGTCATTGCCCACAGGTTTGAACCGGAACTCTTCACCCGAGGAAGATCTACCCTGTGGGCATTCAAGCCCGAGTATCGACGATGCGCACAGACACCGAGTCCTAGGACTCGACCCGTGTTCTGTGGATCGTGAGTTGTTCCGGGACATAGCATTCTATCTCCCGACGAGTCAATATCTGACCAGTACGCTGGAAGTAGCGTTTGTGACCCGTGTATAGAGACCGCGGTACCGCGGAAGCGCTCGAAGCTGCATTGAGCTTCTGAATTACGCGTTCAGGTTCGCAGCCATCCCCTCAAAGTTCACTATCCTTAAAAAACGACATGTATTTCGTCTGCTCGACGAGGAACTTGGGAATATACCCGAATTTTCAAGCTCACGGGGACGAGGAATGTGCTGCTTCGCTTTTCGACTTTCCGAAGATGAGATTAAACGCTCGAGCTGTGGGAGGGTGATGGGGTGATGGATGAGCCTCGGGTGAATCGATCGTAACGACGGAGTTTCGGAAGACTCTTCGGGGTCTGCTTACGAGCGAAAAGATCTCCGCCCTCGGGGGTGCGTCGGAGGAATTCCCAAGGCTCGGAATATACTTTAAATCCAATTTGTGTGAATTATGAATTCGAGAAATAATTTTCAATACTTCTCTCCGAGTCTATGATCGATTTCTCTCGCAACCGGACACTCCGGGTGAGGGCTCTCGACGCGCCCTCAATTGAGTGTCGGAACCCTGCATCCTAATTCGCGGTGCTCATTCGCTGAAGATTGCCGGGGAAATGGAGTTCCCTCAATTATTGCAAGTATCCGACGATCGGTGCGCTCATACTGAACGTATCTCATCAATCCCCTCCCACAGTTACGACTTTAAATCGGTGATATTGTAACGAACTGTCGCCGTCGCGGCGCTTAGAGCGAGTAATCGATATCTCGATGCTATCGTAATTATCAGATTATCATTTATATCGTCATGCGTCATGGGAGCCTGATGTGTGCTCATGATATCGCTAAAAATGAAAAACTGACTAACCTGCGTGAAATCTTGCGACGCGATGTTCCTGATACAGCTGCTAACAAAAGATATCCGACTGACGAATCGAGGACGGAATATTCGAGTTTTGGAAGACTATCTCTCGAGCGCACGGATATAAACGACATTGAATGAAGCGAGACGAGATCCTTCTTAGAAAAGAGAGAGAGTTCCTCCGCAGATTAGAATTGGCTGGACTTCCGGGTGCGAATTTCTCCCTAAACTGCTCTCTATTCTATGTTGTTCCATCGAAATCGAAATGATGAAGGTTCCGGCCTTTCTGCACGAATCCCTGACCTCTCGCAAGGGAGATCCCTATACTCCTAAATTATTTGACATTGATGCGGTTCGGATCTCGCGACAGATTCTCGGGATTAATTCCCACCGGGTTCCCTGTCCAGCGTTCGCATCATTTCCGTCTAGCTCTCTCCCTTTTTGACTCCGTGTATTTTTTCAAAACGTGAGCAGCAGGAGAATTTCTGTAGACATATGAGCTCAGAATGAGAGTAGAATGTCATGCGTTTCGTCATGTCAGGTTTCCAGAGCTATCCTTCAACTGTTGTGACAACCGCTGCTTTCAGATCATAGCTTTTCTCTAGCAATCTTCTACGAGCTTCCTTCGAGAAACCGAGGGAGATGAAAGCGGTGGAATCTTGCTCCATTCATCTATAGAAGACAGATAACTATTTTCACGTGTGCTAGAACTCGACTGTGACCTAGAATCGACAATACTACTATAACCGGTTGACGAAGGAACGAGGAGAAACACCGACCTACATACATATTTGATGATATGTTTAGAATGAGGCAGATTGATACCATAATCACGAGGCGTTTTTCGAAGAACTTCAGCAACACTACCTGACGAATAGCGGAAACAGATCGAGTATCGCCTTCTGCGAAAAGGTTTCCTGTTGATAGAGAGCGAAGATAAAGACTTATATTAGATGACGTATCTCGTATATCGAAACTGACGCCCGCATGATTTGGCTCGACGCAGACTAGCGAGCAGGGTCAAGTTCACACAATCTAGTTTACATACGCATTGACAGTGTCTTGTAAATAAGCTCGCCCACGGATTATCATCTGCAATCCCGGCTAGCTATAATGATGGTCCCAGCCTGATCATTGATTCACCATATTTCCGTCTACACGCCGTTTTCGGAACGCGTCTGTACAAGGGGTCTGTGAGCCCCGAGAATATTTGGCGGTCCGTCGACCCGTAGCCCTTCGTAGCATTCGATGTTTAATTGTATCCGGTGGGATGTATTGAAGTCGTGCGTGCATTATATTATTGTTCACGGGCGCTTGACCGATCCTAAATTAAAAAAAAATTCTGATGCGCGAGAAGAACGACATTTCGTGAAGAAAATTGTCATCGAGGAGGCGCTCGGCGACGTCAGCCGCACGCGAACGAGCGCGGGCGGAAAAGGGAGAGAATAATTTGTAGACACTTATTATAGCCGCGGTGAAGAATAATCGGCTTCGTGGGAGCCGATCGATGCTGGGTAGTTTGACTAGCATTATTAATGTATATATCAATTTGTATATTGTGACAGTCTCGCAGTCACCCGACCGACTTCATGTCTCGATTGCTATTCATATGAATTTGATCAGCTGTACCAATAAAACCGTAACCGCAAATGAAAAATACTGGTCTTCGATCGATCCCAGCGATCTTGCGCTGCGCTTGTACTTCCCGACGACGATTCAGGTACGATGCGAGTCTTCTCCACGAATCACTCCGAGTCTGACGACTTTAATTATTAGAGGCCTCTTTCTCCGCCCACACCTCCTGACATCCTCCTCTTCATTTAGAGATCGTCCGTTTATGCTTCCTCGCCCCAATGGATCTCATATGCCGTCTTTGCCTGCCTCAATGTTCTATTGCGACAAATGAGTGTCAGAAGCGCTTGTAGTGACAGAATTTTCTCGGAGAAACATGATTCACTCGGCATGATCACTCCTGAGCGTGATCCCGTCGTCGATACGATCCAGCCCAAACGAGACGAGCTATTTTGTCGCCAAGCTTCCGAGCTAGATGGAAACCAATCCCGTGAGCTGTGAGGCGAGAGATCCTCACCACGTTAGGACGCAGCGGGAATACGGCAGCATCGCACTTCTCTGAAGCTGTCTCGCCCTACGTCTGAATCGAATCAGAAGTTCGGATACTGTCTCCATCGTCGTCTCAGTCTTTGACTTCCTCGCCCTCTACGTGAACTTCTCCCTCGCGCTCTCCGTTAGATTAGCTTCCCGGTCCGCTGCTCCCTTTTCTTCCATGTCTGAAGCAGCTTGCGTCGATCCAATCGTGCTCTTCCCCTGAGACAGCTCCATTAAACCCTACCTCTTTGCTCCACCGTTGATCTTCTCGCTCGCTTACTCCTGCGCGTCTCGATCCTCCTCTTTCTCTGTTCAACGTTCCATCGGAGCGCCATGCGCGTCGCGCTTCCTTTCCTCATGCGGGCCACCGATCTCCTCATCGACTTCTAATGATTCGGCGTTGCCCAGCATCAAACTCACTTGTTCGTGGACACCGTGAACTATGCCGAGGCCAGCCACTTCCGCCAAAGCTGCGAACATCCGCTGAGCTTTCGGAAGAATATCTTGCGAAGATACATATTTCTTGATAAAGGCAACAAGTGGGGCCATCGAATGGAGTTCCTTCGCGACGACGACGAAGGACTTGCATACGGGAATCTCGCAATGCGAATTAATTCTCCGAAAATTCGTAGGTATATCTCTCCAGAATCGCCACCTGACCTGAAACGTGTAGTGATGGT